AGACCAGCAACAGGCTATGAAATCCCAATCTGCCATTTCACTGAGAAAGGAAATCCTTTTCTGCAGCCCTCGATGTATTCCATGTGCTGTGCATATACCCAGTTATGTTTTTTCATCCATGTCTGTTCTTGTTTTCCATGTACACATTCTTAAGGATGCTTTCATTTTACACTTTGTACCCTCTCTTCACTTTTGGACAAAAATATCTTTGTTTCACTTTTTAGTTTCGATTATTTCTGCCATTCAGTTCTGTTTGTCCATATTAAATGCATTTTCTCCTTTCTTTTTCTGATTTTAGAATAGCAAATTTGATATGATATTTTATAATAATCTCCTCTGAGCTTTAGAGAATTACAAGCTTCTTTATTGGAATTAAATAGGAACGGGCTCATTCCAATAATAATATCTTACGTTAACATCTCCTGTATGTTCTAGAAGTGTTCTTTACTCTTTGTTATTTTTGCTCTTTAAACAGAGCAGTTTAGACACAAGCGTTTGAAATCAATTAGATTATATCATATTAAATCTGGAGTGAGTTTCACACAGAACTTCTGCTTAAATTAGGAATTTAGATTAAATTTCAACAAGCATTTCTGTAACTTCCTTTCCCTTGCAGAAGGGAAGCTGTTTTCTCAATATGTTAAAAGGATCCATTCTATGAAAAAATACCTCCTAATAGAGTGGAACGTTTTCCTCAGGCATTTTGCTTCTTGCTCTCCCCACTCCTTTCTTTTTCCCATCCTTTACGGATCCAACTTTTCTCTCTGAGTTAAGAGTTGCTTCCTCTGGGTGTGAAGGAAGGTTGGAATACTTTACGCTCCAAGCTGCTGCTACTGATCAGTGATGTCAGGCTGAATATGAAACTGATTTGCTCCCATGAGCAATTTAAGCAATGTCGCAGTGAAGTTTGCAGAGGTGTAAATCAGTGCAGAACAGAGGGTTACACTTCTGCAGTGCTCAGAAAATGAAAACATCATGAAAATACTGAATATTACTGATAACTAAAGAGTCACAGAAAAGCAAACTGCAATTATGCTTACCTCCTGGTTGGTAATTCAAATGGAAAAAAAAGCAAGCAAGCAATTTTTCAAATAAGACTTTCAGAGCTGAAGCCAGAACAGGAAGTACCAAAGCAATTACTTCAGCAACTTGCTTTTATAGAGGAAATCAGCAGCTACGAGTTTCATTTCTAGGTAATTTCCCAGGCTCCCAAGAAACACAGCAGCATCTACAGTCTGGAAAGATGTCAAACAGTAGCACGCAATTCACAGCAACTCAGAAACAAAGTGCCAAAAAATACACAGCGCGAGCAATTGCTATTTGTGTCAGATTTTCCCATAGCAGGGCGATATAGAGGATAACTGTACTAGAGATGCAGGAAAAAGAAAGTTTGGATTTCAGCTGCAAACAGTAGACACTGTCTGTCAGAGGAGATTTTGAAAGTTGTTTTGCTCTTGAATCTAGAGCAGGAATAAGTCTGTGTAATTAGATGGGAGAATAGTTCATTTGAGGTGGTGGAAGGTCAAATCCCATCATGCTTATTTATATATTTGGTACTGAGAAGTTCATGGAAGTTCCATCGACTTCAACAAGATTTCCAAGGTAACAATGGAAAATGTAGCTATTGGAAAGAAAGCAGAAAAGCCAAACATCATAGTTTCATAGGATTCATCAAAAGCAAATTCCTATATGCTGAAATTGAAGCTGATCTAAGGATTGACATACAAAGGAATTCCTTGAAACACTGCAAGGTAAAGGGGTGCATATATTTATTTTTAGTTAGCACAGACTAATTCTAATCATTCAGTCAGGATCTTCCATGACAAGCTAGTTGACTCACAGGCCTTATTCCAATATGCTGTGATTCAGACACTGCCAGGCAGCAGAAACGCAGCCACACGCTCCTTCCACCTCTGACAGAAAGCGGCCCTGCAGCTGAGGAGCTTGGAGGGCAGGTGGCTGGGAGTGGGGCAGAGCTGGGACACCTCCTGAGAAACCAGGCTGTGGTGTCCACCTGGAGCTTGGTGGCCTCAGAAGAAGGAAAGGGGGGGGCAAAGGAGAGGGAGAAAAGAGGCAAAGGTGAAGAAAGCAGACTAACTATTCTTATGAAGTAATTTGCCTTGATGAGGGAAAGTAGGCTGTGGACTGATCCAAGAGCATGAATCTAGTCTATTTAAGGATAAATACGCGGGGCAGTGCAATGCAATGGATGGTTCTCTTGGGCTTTGCAGCTTAAAAGAGAGTGTCCTGAGAGAGAGCTGTATTTAGGGCTGCTCAGGGGATGACGAGTGGGAATGCCTGTGTTTAATGAGCATAAACGCTTATTTGCTCATTTCAAATAAAGAAGTCATAAAGGAAGGCATTAAGCACAAACAAAGCCACGTATTGCCATGCTTCAAAAAGCTGTTTCCAGGTCATGCAGTGACCTCATACCTCAGCAAGGGGCAGCTCACAAAGCAGAGTGCCACCATCTGACACTGAGGACTGGGCCTTCCTTGTCGCTCTCCTCCTGACCTAGCATTCTTCGAATAACTGAGGCACGCAGCCCTGCTGTATGGATTTGTCTGTGTTTAAAGAGCAGTGTGTTTCTGCCAGCACCACCTTTATCATTACAAACAGTCCCATTCAGCTCCCCTGCAATATTTCCTTGCTGGTGGTGGGATTCAACATTCCAAGGAGACAGAGGCGCTGTGAGAGGAAGTAAAACAGAGATAGACACAGGTGCTTAAGAAGGTCCCAGCACACTCGTGATGTGCTGGGACACTTGAGCTGCAGCTGGCACAGCAAATACCTTCCACCACTTGCTCAATTTGTCCCCAAAAGAAGGTCAGCTCAGCAAAAACCAAGCCTGTTTTGTGACAAACATTTCACCTCATGTGAACTTACAAAACACCTGTTGCCCTGAGACCAAATGGGGCCCGTGGGAAGGACAATGTCCTGCCATAGGAACATACTCAGGGACATACGAACATACATAGGGAAATTAGCAAGGGAGCAAATAAACAGGCTCTAATTTTCTTCTGCAAAATTAGGCAGCTTTCATACTACAGGATATTAGAAAGACTGAACTGCTCTGAACTGCCACTACAGTGATTTTTGGCTCAGGTTTTTTGGCTGGCACACAGACTGACTTTCCTGCTCTCAAAGGGATTTTACTTTAGCACAGAAATCAGTGTGCTGCCCACCTCCATAAGCTGTCCCAAGTGTCTGAATTCCAAACCATCTGGAGACCAAGCATGGTAGCCACGTTGCCACATTGCCAGGAAGGATAATGAGCAGCCTCACTGTAATTACATGGTGTCCTCAGGTGCTCTAAACCAAAACCAAAACAAAACAAAGCCCCAGACAACACCCACAGCCTGCCTAGGTGAGCTGTTATCCAAACAGGAACGTGTTCCACGTGATTTCCTGTCAAGTAGCTTTCTGTGTTCTTCATGCCCATACTTATCACCATGGGGAGCTCCCAGGAAAACTCAAAGATTTGGGAAATTATCTTGCAACAAGCCTATAGATCTGAAGGCTAGAGAACAAATTACAGGCTCTTATTTTTTCCCCAAATATTGTCACCCAAGCTCTGTTATTATCTATATTGCATTACAGTGTATCATGAGCTATTTGACTTGAACAACACACGACTTAAATTCTCCACTGGAGACTGGAGAGCATTCTTACGGGGCACTGTGCTGGGCCTTGTGAACCTGTTCTCCCCAGGCCAGTGGAAGGACTTTACAACCTGACCTCAGGAACACTTCTGCATACTGGGAACATGCCCACATTACCAGCTTTTTCTCCTAAATCCTCCCAGAGATCTGAAACAATGTGCAGTATTATCTGACCCTGTTGCAGCCTATTATTTGGGGCAAATTCCTATGAAACAGGGACGAGCCTTGAAGCAAGCATGGAAAGTGGATAGCAGCACGGTAAGGTGCATCCCTGGCTCAGCAGTCATGTGCTGTGATGCCTGGCCCATCGTGCTGCCTCAATCTGTAGTCTCCTTTATCTAGGCTGTGGTGAACGTACTGCCATTGCTGGGAGCTGCTGGTGACACTCACAGGAATCCTTACTCCGACTGACTCCTGTTAGCCTGAAACACACAAACTCAAAAGCGCAGGGACACAGGTCTCTGTTTAAAGACACTGCAGAAAACATCTGCTAAGGGCATCGTGCTCTTTTTATAGTACACACTATTTATTATTAACTAAAAAAAATGTTGTTGCACCTGTTTTCTGCCCTAACTTTTCTGTATTGCCATAAGAAGCTACTGATATCTGTTCTCAACACAACAAAGAGCTACATTTCAGCAGTGCCTCTGTAGCAACTCACCTTGCTCAAATACGGAGATGATTGCTTTAAGTGCTCCAAACGCCATGACTTAATAGCGGAAGCAGCGCTGTAAATCAATAATCACACTTGAGTTTTAGTTGGTTTTTTTTTTTGTTTTTTTGTTTTTTGTTTTTTTTAATTACGTGGACAGTAAATGAATGCATGAGGTGGGAGTTACAGCCAGGATCCCTCTGCTGGTACGGGCTCCTGCTTTCTCTTTCTGCATGGGTGCCTGCCATTCGTAAGAGCGGCACCAAGAGGTGATCAGCAGCCGATCGATTAGTAGTAACTCTGCTACCTACTCTGACAGCTGCTTCCCCTCCCCGCTCCCCCAGCCCCACCACGTCCTGTCAGGAAGTTTTCCCGAGCTGCCGGCAGGAGGAGGGCCGGTTCAGGAGGGGCCGGCTGGCTCTGCGGGGATGCGGTAGCTGCAGCTGTGCCCCCGGGCTGGAGCGGGGCTGACTTACGGCACCCAGCCGAAAGCCTGCGAGACGACGCGACCTCCCTGCCGGGCCGAGCCTGAGGCCCAGGGCCACGCAGCTCCCGCCCGGGTCCCTCCCCCTGGCGCCGGCCGGGGGAGGAGCGGGGCCGGGCCGGGCCGGGCCGGGGGGAGTGGGAGGAGCAGCGGGGGCGGCCGCGCAGTGGGGCCGGATCGCGGCGGCGGCTCCGAAGGAGCGCCGAGTTGGTGCTGCCCGCGGCGGGGCCGCCTTCGTCCCGCCGCTTCCGGGGCCCGGCGGCGCGATGAAGAAGCCGGACGGGAAGGTGGTGCTGCTGGGGGACATGAACGTGGGTAAGACTTCGCTGCTGCACCGCTACATGGAGCGGCGCTTCCAGGACACCGTCAGCACGGTCGGCGGCGCTTTCTACCTGAAGCAGTGGGGGCCGTACAACATCTCTATCTGGGACACGGCAGGTGGGCCGAGGGGCTGTGTGGGCGGGTCGGGCTTTCTGTCGTGCGAGACCAAGGCTTGGCGAGGCTGCAGGGGCAGGGGCTGAGCCCCGCTGCCCGCCCGGGACGGTTCCTCAGCTTCAAGTGATGCGTTCTGCAGCCCCGCCGTGTTCCGTGTGCCTTTCGGGACGCCGGGGATCGAAGTTCTCTCGCTGTGTCACTTCGTGTCACAATCTAGTCCAACATGGCTTTTCCTGTGCCAGGAATTGAGAAGGAGGAAGAGGGGGAGCGAAACTGCTGAAGAGTTGCGTGGAGACTTCTTGGAGGGCGAGGAGGAGATGCGTAGGAGATGTGGCTACTTTGGCTTTACTTTTTGCATTTCTTAATCTATTACTGTAATGAAAACACATCAGTAGTTCTACCTGAGACCTGTCTCACCAAGAGGATTTCCCTTTGCTGATCTGCCTTTTTATTTTTATGTTTATCTCACGTCTATAATTGCAGTGTATTACTATGTAACATAACTGAGGCTGAAACAGGAACCTGGAGGAGCCCTAGAGCTGCATCTTAGCCAGCCAGATGAAGCACCCAGGTGGCTCCCTCCTTGGAGTGCTAGGTCAGAGATGGTCGTTTACTGGTCTGGGCTCCCTCACGCCCCATGCTGAGAGCTCCTGCTGGTTCCCTATCCTCAGCAGGACTTCTGAATCCGCATAGGCAGAGCCAGTTGAAAAACATCCAGCACTGGGAGCACCATCATGCGTGGTCCCGCTCTCCTCTCTGGTTGGGGATTAGTGTTGAGCTTGGTGTCCTCTCCCTCACCTCCCAAAGGTGCTGGCTCTAGGCTGGTCTCACTGTTGACTTGTGCTCCTGCAGAAGGGTGGAAGTTCTAGAAATAAAAGATCAAAGATTAGAAATGCTTTAGCACCACAATATGACAGAATTACAGTTCAACATTTGCACCTTTCTTATCTTCTTGAATACGGAGTGCCAACGCCAGATGTCTGTCTTAACCCTGCAGTGCCCTAGCAGTCCTTTACTCTTACTTGTACACAGAGCAGTTGAGAACATTAGGACTAGGAAATGGGGGAGTGCTTGGCTGTAACTGCTGCATTAACTCTGTGCTCCAGCAAAATGCAGTCATACAAGGTTAACTGTACTTGGATATATTTTGTTCCTTGTACTAAGGGACATGGTTTATTGGGGAAGTATTGGTGGTAGGTGGGCAGTTGGACTGGAGGATCTTGGAGGTCTTTTCCAACCTTTGTTATTCTGTTAGTGCATGGTCTAATTTTTATACTCCGTGTTGTATTCTGTATGTGAATGTCATGGTTGTCTTTTGATAAGAGAAAAGAAAACCAAACAATGTTATTTTGAGCCCCCTTACCTCCGTGGAAGTCATCCGTATTTTATGTTCTGTTTGGACGGTTGTTGTTCTGACATGGATTAGGCATTTGGCTGTAACGGGGTAAGCATTGATACAATATAATATTTTTTCTTTTTTTAACAGTACTGGACTTCATAAAATAGAATCGTAGAATCATTGAGGTTGGAAAAGACCACTTGAGTGATAGATGAGTTTATCCAGAGTAACGGTGATAGATTGTGGGTTAAGTGTATGTGGATATTAGTACTACAACAGTTCAAGTGCTGATCTGGGTTGTTTAAAATATGTATCAGTTATACTCATCACTGTTGATCTTGCATTACTTCTTGATTTATTATTCAGAAATATCTCTCATTTTTTCCAGAAATGATTAAAACTGTAGGCTAAAAGGTTTAGAGTGTACGTTGCAGTATTGTCACTGCTCAGTAAGCCATGGAAATGTGCATGTTCTGCCAAGTTAAGTCTGAAAAGCAAATGAGCTATTCTAGGTGGGAGTCTTCTCCTGGCTCTATGTTCAAACCCACCTTATCCTGGAAAGATCAGCTTCTTAGTCTAATCTAAATCTTTCATATTCTTATCCTCAAGCCTTGTAAAATGGGCATGCAGAAGTTGTCAGACTTGATTTTTTTTTTTTTTTTTTTTTTTAATGTGAATTCTAGCAGCAAGTAATTTGACGTTTCCAGTTTTCCAATCTGATGATTAGGAAAGGTCATTTGGATATTGCATCCAACTCCAGGAGGCAAACAAGCTATACATGGAAAAATACCTGAGAGAAGCGTTATTTGCTTTGTTCTTGACACTCTTTCTAGCCATCCGCTCTTGGCTGTTTTCTCCATTGTCAGAGGTTTGGCTAGATGGCCTCGTGTCTGACCCAGTGTGGCTGCTGTTGTTTTCTTGGAGCAGATGCTACAAATTGTTTTGTTTGAGTCAGTTAATTCAAAGGAATTTAGAAAGCAGAACCAAACAAAACTATGTGCTTAAACTGTACGAAAACCAACCAAACAAAAAACAGAGTAACTGTGAACCTTTGGTGCATTTTAGAGGACAGCTCTGCTAGATACAGACCTTGTCACTGAGGCACACAAGTGTATGCTTTGAGACTTTCCTAGTGGCATGACTGAAGAAATAATTTTCATAACCAAGAAACGTCAGCAACAACATCAGCCAGAATAACTTCCTCCTGCGAAACAACCGGAGGTTGGAGACTCAAGGATGTCCAAGGATGTGCGTGTGTATGTATGTGTATGTATATATGTTTATATATAGCAATAACAACTTCTAGACAGTGCTGACAGCAGTTGTGTAGTAACCCAAAGCTTCCTGCTGGGCATCAGAGGCGTGCAGCACTGAGCTAGTATGTAGCCTTTTATCTCTGGTACTGCAAACGCATCCTGAAGTTCTGCTGGTCTCAGCCTTGCTCCACTTTTAAAAGTGCATGGAGTGTAGGAATAACAATTTATGGGAGTGTTTGGGATTTTTAGGTGTATTTTCTGATGCCTTAATATTTCAAAAAGAACTTGTGTGTATGTTAGTTTTCAGTCTCTTTAACTTTACGCTTGTTCATCGGATATATTAGCGATGGTCCTGGAGGCAAGGTTTCTTAACTGTTAGTGATCAGTGTCTCCTGTTCTAGTCCCTTGGAATGAAGCAGCAGACCAGTAATTTAATCACAAGTATGCCATAAAACTCACTTTGTGATTGAAATGATTGTGTTTTAAGACAGAAGTTGCCTTTTGAATTTACCAGCAGAGTCATGCAGCGTGATAATGAGGAAACATAAAGATTAACTGGAAAAGCAAACCTCATTTATTTTCCTCCTCTCATCTTAATCTAGCTGTCTGAATGGGAGAACTGATTTGACTCTCTTCTGTCAGTATTCAGCTGTCAAAGAGGTAGAGTTGAACTGTAGTGGTCTGGTTCCTCCCTCACTCAGTCTTTGTGCCTCTTGACTTTGGCTTTTCTTTCTGTGTAGCTGTATGCTTCCTTCTGCACGTTTTTCTCCCAGGGAGCAGGTGACTGGTGAAGTTCTCAAGAGGAACGTGGGTTGGCATATGACTCACTCATTTGGAGTACAGGGTTAGCCCAGATAGTTTGGTCTCACTTCTGCTCCAGAGGCTAGATTTACTTGGTGTGAACAACTTGAAAATTGTAGGTAAGAAGGAAACGTGGTCCTCTGTCATGATGAAACAAAGCAGTAGAATTAAAACATGTCTTTTCTTTACAGGGAAGAAGATTGATAGTAGCCACTCTGTTGAATGTTCTGCTGTTTCTCACTTTTGGAAATGGAGGGCTATAGAGGGAGAGAAGAAACTACAGATGAGGTGGTTTATCAAAGCCTGAGATGACCCTGAGGCAGGAGAAAGGCCTTGCTGTGCTGGAGGTAGGGTGATAGCGTAGCAGTTGAGATTGGATCTTGGTCAATATGCGATGAGGTATGTTGGAGGAGGTTGTTTGGAAGGATTTAGAAGACAGTACCTCAAAAAGTATCTTGAGCATCACGGGTCTTTTAGTGAGGAGTACTGCTCTGTATCTAGAACTTATGAAACAGGTTCAGAAGCCAGAATAAAGGTTTAGCTTTTAGGACATCCACAGAAGCATAGTTTTGTTGTTGTGAAACATTGCACTAAGGCATTTAGTAAAAATTTAGAAATGCCTTGTCACAAGGAACTGCGGGGGGAAAAAACAAAAACATCATGAAATGGGAGATAAAATTTGCACATTTTGTTTACTCAGATATGGCTATCTCACTTTATTGAAGGAGGAATTTTGCTTCTAGTGTTTCTTTTTAGAACAGACTCTTGAGTGGCAAGTCGTTGAGGAGGGTAAACCATTTGTTTTGTTTATTGTGTTTGATACAGGCCAAGATGAATATCGTGTATGAACCCCTGTGGTAGCTGCTGTATTCAAACTCCCACGTTAAATCCATGCTTTGCATGTGGTATTTAATAATAGCAGGCAGTGTGACTCCACTGGTCTAGCCAAAGTGGGAAATGACTTTATGGTTCAAGAAGACTCTTCAAATCCTATCAGTAACATGATACTGATACACTTTGTTCCTGGCTAAAGCTGTATGGTGTTATGCCATGACATTGCTCATGTTCATCAAGCCATAGCTGAGGTTTGCAGTGTTGGAGTCCTTGGTACCATCTCGACTTCTGTAACAAAAGATGTTATCTATTTTTTCTAACTTGTGCTGAAGTGAGGCCTGAGTGTTAGAGAACAACTATGTATTTATGTCCAGTCTGTGGTGCATGGCCTGTGTTCTTGTTTTTATGTGAAAATTTTGTTTCTTGGCTTTATGTTATGTATGAGTTTGTACAAGCCCATGTTTAAAAGCCCCAGATCCCAGGTTGGAACAGTACGAGAATCTTCATAATGAAGAGCTTGTGTCTCTGGCATTGCATCCTTCCTTCCCTGCTTAATGAAGCAAGAAGTGCATTTTCCAAACATCTCTGTCAAAACTGACTTGATAGCTGAAAGGTTAATTTAAGTAACGACTGTCTGCTTCATGACAATACCGACAAAATCTGTGAAAGTGGTGTAAGAGAGTAATGGCTAGTCAGGCAATGGAAGTGAAATTGCACATGTATGGAAATACATGTTCCTGGTGAATCAGAAGTATGGTGGGAGAAAATGGAGA